CCATTACATTCATTTTGAACAATCCATTGTCGAGATAACCACGACCAAGGAATTTTTTTCCATATTTGCTAAGAATAAACTTTTTAGCTTCAAACACTAGCTTAAATCCATGCTCAACAAGAAGTGATCCGGAGACCAAATTCTTGCGGATGTCTGGGACATGCAGAACATCCTTCAGCTTCAACTCCCTTCCAGAAGTGAGCTTCAGCACTACCGTGCCCACTCCAGCCACATCAGACGTGGAGGAGTTTCCCATGTGTAGTTTCCGACCCATAGCAGGAGTGTATTCAGAGAACACCTCCTTGTCGGAACACACATGACGAGTGGCACCAGTATCAATGTACTACTCTCTTGGGTTATCCACCAAATTGGCTTCAAACACCACAGCCGACATATCAAAGTCGGTCAATTCACCTGGCACAGGGCCGTGTTCAGCAACAAGGGCACTCGGTTGCCCTTTCTTTTGCCCAGCAATTTTGGGCTTTCTGCAATCTTTAGCCATATGATTTGGCTTTCCACAATTATAGCACGTGCCTGTAAACTTCCAAGTTTTGGCTGGCTGCTTTCCCTTATTCTGGGTCTTCCTCTTACTCGAGTTACCTTGCTCCAGCAAATTGGCACGAGCTTCCATCATTGGGACTTTTCCTGATGACTTCTGGTTGTCCTCCTCGATACGAAGACGAACAATCAGGTCTTCAAGACTCATCTCCTTTCTTTTGTGCTTGAGATAGTTCTTGAAATCCTTCCAGCCTGGCGGCAGCTTCTCGATCACAGCCGCTACTTGGAACGACTCGCTCAAAGTCATCCCTTCAGCATGGATATCGTGCAAGATTAGCTGGAACTCTTGCACTTGTGACACGACAGTCTTCGTGTCAACCATCTTGAAGTCAAGAAATTTGCCGACGATGAATTTCTCCGGCATCCTCGGTCTTGTACTTCTTCTCCAGGGCAGCCCAAAGCTCCTTGGCAGTACCAACAGAGCTATACACATTATACAACTCGTTACTAAGTCCATTCAAGACATAGCTCCGGCAGAGGTAATCACCTTGCCCCCAAGCTTCGTACGCAGTACGTAGTTCAGCGTTGGTTTCATTTTCAGCAACAAGAGGGAGATCATCCTTCAGATATTTTGCCAAACCTAAGGTGGTTTGGTAGAAGTGCATCTTCTGCTGCCACCTCTTGAAGTCAAGCCCGTTGAATTTTTCGGGTTTTTCAGCAGTCGGGACCTGAACAGCAGGTACAGGTTGATAATGCTGAACAGATTTGTTGATTGGCTGCTGAGAGCTGGAACCTTCTCCGGTGGAAGCCATCAGTTCGGTAGGAAAATCTATTCTTCTTGCGAATGTTGGATATTTGGTGTAAAATTGCACGGGAATCCTACGAACTGATATGTAATTTTCAGTTCCTACAAATAATCTAAAAAATAGAAAATTACAATTGAACTGAAAAAATAAATTACAAC